GTTCAGCTTGACTCTCCCCGGGAGGAATTGTAAGCATAAGCGTTGTAGGACATGTTTAACTCATCACGAGACCAAAGGTTACCGTGTTCGGTCTTCTGGTGAATACACATCCTTCAGTCTGTGCAATTGGGTGTTTTGCGGCTAAAAGTCCCCCTGTCACCTTCTCCGGAGATAGACGAAGAGGGACACAACAATGGCCTTTCGCGGTTGCGGAGGAAAATGCTGATAAAAGGGTTATTCAGGCAGTGGAATGTAAGCCGAGAGTGTGTGTAGCCGGCAACAACTAAGAAGTTTGTTATCATACACTTAGCAATTGTAGATTAAGGAAGGAGGACATGCCAGAAGAGCTGCCTAGACCAGCGGCTTGACAGAGCTGATAATGCAAGCCTCATGCCGCCATTCTGAAATGTCGCACCGGTCTCCATGTGCACCGAAATGGAGGCACATTTGCCACTTATTCCTCTGAGAAAATGCCAGACTGCTCTCGAGATTCGCAACACAATGCCCTCACGTCGAGGTGAAGTACAATCAATGGTTTGTGTTTATGCGATTTTTCTTCTGCCATTACCAGAAAGTTGCGATAGAATGCGTCCAGACGGCAGCTCCCCGGACACATCCGCCGGTGAATGTGGTTCTTTTCTCGCCAAATTCGCCCATTGCCCCCTCATCAATCACCAGATAGAGGGCCTACTGAGGGCGAATTTCAATATCTCCACCCAAAAATACGACATTCGCTTGGCATGCTCAGAAAAAGGTTGCTTTGTCTGGCACCAGCTCAGACGAGTGAGATAATGTTTATAATGTCGGACTTTATGACGCCAGGCTGGCGTCAGCTGAAGCTGGACGCATTCGTGAACTCCGAGTTGTGAGCGAGGCGGTTCTGAAAGATCTTGAAGATGTGAGTGCCAGCATTGCTGGGTCACACGTTTCTTTTGCTCTAGCCCAGGCTATTCGAGTTAGTTTAGTAACCATCCAAGAGCAACGAGGAACACTAAGGGAAATAGAATGGTGGGTAAATATAGTTTATTTGCCCAGTTTGGCCAAAAAGCCTACAGGCAAAACAGACCATACACGCACAGCCTATCTGGCTTGGAAGCAGTCCCCTTTCGCTGTGAAGTGTTGGTTTTATATCGTCCTTGCAACATGGTCGTGATGTCAGATGGATCTTGAGGACGGTACCATGTGCGTCAGCTTCAGCTGTTAGTCTTGATAATTTTCGAAGAAAAGTTGGGTTTCGAGGAATCTCTTGTTTCATAATTGTTGAGCTTACTTCCATTTCGAGT